TCTAAAACCCCACCTCCCATCACCCTGCTCCCTCCCTCAACCCCAAAGGCTGTGTCCAAGACCTCTCGCGGTGGTCAGCATGTTGTGGTGCGCCTGCAGCTGGCAGAGCCCTCAACCGGGAGCGTGGAGCCGCTGCTGGCACTCAAGGACGCCGCATCACAGCCTGCAGGCGCCAGCCACCTGCTGGCCGCCGCAGCTGACAGCCGCTCTGACAGCGAACACGAGGACGGGGGCGGCGGTCGGGGGGGCAGCGTTGATCCTGGAGAAGAGAGGGGTGCAGTGGTTGGCGGCAAGCGCGGCATTTGCAGCAAGGGTTTGGGACCCAAAGTGCAGCACAGGGGGCCGGCATTGGATGCGGATGACGCAGATGGCGATGGTGGAAGTGACAGCGGCAGTGGTGGAGGGCGGCACAGCAGGCCCCATCGGCGGGCGGACCCCAGGTGCGTTGTTCATTACTAAAAAGGTATCACTGCGTGCAATTTGTCGGTGTTGCACTCTCGCTGCTGCCGCTGCTGTCGCTGCTGCCATGTAAGGAAGAACGCAGGCGCAGTTGCATCGTGGTATTTGTGGTCATGCTATTGCAGGCCAGCATCGCGGCATGATATAAATCCTTTCCTACTTTATTGGATTGGCGCCCTGCTCTGCGTCACATTCACACCCATCATCCGCCCAACAAAACCCACCAGGATGCGTGTGGCTCAGTGGGTGAGGCAGTCGGACGCAATCAAGGTTGGCCCATCCGCGGGTGAGGAAGAGCACGATTACGAGTACAACGTTCGCAGGGGCCGTCGCGGTGGCCAAGACGGCTTGCGTGGCGGCGATGATGGTGGCGGTGACAGCGCGTCTGAGGGCAGCGATAGCCTCGCCGTCGATCCAGGCCTGGCTGGCGGCAATGGCATCAGTTATGGCGTGGCGTCGGTGGGCGATGCGTCTGTGAGCCAGGCTTCCGGGTCGGAACCAGGTGACGGTGCAGGCAGTGCCGTGGGGGACGGCCAGGCTGAAGAGGAGCTGGCAGCAGACTTCAGGTGAGAGGGCCCGCTGCAGATTATACTGCGCGCAGGGGGCAGAAAAGGGCCGGGCAGAACCAGGGTGGTGCACTCCCTGGATGGCACTCCGCTTGCGCAAGGCTTTGTGGCTCCAACCACCAATGACTCCGTGCTCCGCCTGTAACTGTGTCTTGGCGTGCGCAGATGCCACATGGAAACGTGAACATTCAAAATTCAGGATGCGCTCCCGTTGATTTCTCAATTTCCCTCTAGCCCAGCACCCAGCATCACCCGCTGACACACGTAACATCCTTCATTGACCCCGCCCCCCGACACATTCGTGCGCCCACTGCCAAGGCGAGCCAAGCGCCTGAAGAAGCTGAACCGCATGATGACGTCCAGCGCGGCACAGTCCTCCACGCTGCGCTTCAAGCAGCAGACGTGGCTCTGCTTCGGCGTCATCCTGGTGGCGCACGTGGTGGGGTACGCCATACTGTCCACTCAGATCCAGAAGCGCTTCGAGTGGGTGCAGGAGCCAGGGGCCGTGGAGGAGAAGGGGGAGCGTGGGCACGATGAATGGGGTTTATCCGTGGATGGTGGAGCCGTAGCCTGTTTGGCTCGCTCTGAAAGCGGCACTGCTGGCGCTCCGCTTGTCACATGCCCTTGACATCTACTGTACCTTCACTCTCTACAGAAATATGCACCACACCACCATCATGGCGCACGCTACCGACCGCTTTCAGCTGTCAGCCATGCACGCCAACATGGCATACGAGTGCTCCAAGCCCGACTTCGTCAACTTTGAAGTGAGGCAGCCGCGCGGCTGGTGCAGCAAGGCGCTGTGCACAGCAGGGGGTGTTTGGCAGGTCTTGTGAAAGGGAGCAAGTTTGGTATGAAGGGGCAAGTCTGGTCACATGGGGCACTTGGAGGTGGCGACCGTGCAATCTAGAGGGAACATTGTGGGCAGTCACGCAGCAGGCGGACGCTGCCGGACGACTCGGTCCTCGTGTACGGCACTGCTGCAGGTGCATTGTCGTCACGCGGCCCGCCTTTCATTCGCAAACCCCATCCACTGTCCTGACTACCAAAGTCTGCTGCTGCCAGCGCTGAAGCCGCCTTGCAGCCAACGCGTTCCTCCCTGACCTCACCCACCCCACCCCCACCCCCAAACACATCTTTGCCCAAGGTGTGCTCCCGGGCGTCGATGCAGAGCACCTATGATCGGTTGCTCACAAACATACATCTCCTGCGCGCGTGGCACCAGGTGGGCATGGAAGCAGGGGGTCGGGAGTCAGGTGCGAGCCTGCCTGAGTATGGCCGGTGTTGTGGGACGAGGACCCCACATGCAGCAGTCGCAGCTCAAATCTGTTCCTTGCATTTTACACGTCCACGTCAGCACCGATGCTGCCCGTCTCAGACATCCCCCCCCTGCCTGCACATCGTGTATATGCTTGCTGCCAGCTGCACGGCCATGTCAGTGTGCGCAATGATCTCGGGGCTGTTGGCAGTGATTATGTGACATGAGGTTATAAATTTATCATTCACCCCACCCCCACCCCCTTGTCCTGCCAAGGAGTTGTATCTGGGCTATCCCGAGCTCGTGAGCTTTGACGACCCGCGCCTCGTTGAGTTTTGGACACACCGCGGGCTGCCAGAGCAGGTAGGGGGGGCCTTCAACGCACCCTTCAACGCGCCCTTACACACGCACACGCACACACACACACACACACACACACACACACACACACACACACGCACACACACACACATACACACATACGCACATACACATACACACACACATACACACAGACACACACACGCACGCACACACACACTTGCGAGCACACATACACTCGTTGTGTTGTGTGTGTGTGTGTGTGTGTGTGTGTGTGTGTGTGTGTGTGTGTGTGTGTGTGTGTGTGTGTGTGCGTGCGTGCGTGCGTATGTGTGCTCACAAATGTGTGTGTGTGTGTGAGTGTATGTGTGTGTGTGTGTGTGTGTGTGTGCGCGTGCGTGCGTGCACGCGCCCCCCACATGTATCAAGCTGATTTCCAAAAGGCATGCTCGCAACCGATTGCATGCTGCAGTCGTGGATGAACGTCACCTCAGAAGGCAGAGGGACTATCATCACTCGCAACGCCACCATATGGGAGATGGGCAACACGTGAGGCTCAGAGAATTATCGGCGGAGACGGGGATGTATATCTGAAATCAAGTCATGGGCGGGTTCGCAGGCTGGCCTTTTGTTGTGGTTCGTAGCTGCTCACAACAGCAAGTTGGCGACTGCACCAGATGCGGCTGCCTGGAGCTTCCTCCAAGCAGCCAATCAGCACCCACCCGTAGCAGGCACACCTCGCCCCTTCTTGTTTGATACGCCCCTCCATCAACCATCTTTGCCATCACTCACACATCATTCCAGGTTCATATCTGCGGGATATGACGTGCACTACCTGGCGCCACTCCTAGGGGCGGCCCTGGAGAACGACACTTCCTTCAACTACATGCACATCAACGGGCCAGAATCCATATTCTTTGGCTACAGGTGCATTGTGCTTGACACATCCCCACACATGACGTGTTGCTGCAGCTGGTGTGACAGGCGAGGCGCTTCCTGTTGGTTCGGGTTGAAGTGCGTTTGCAGCCACCCACTCACACGTTGAAACCCCCCTCCAAACCAACACTACTGTCCCAAGCCAATCATATAAAGAGAGAATATGCGCACCCGTCCACAGCCATGCGCCTGCTCACCCCCGACGACCCCGCTGCTCCTGTGCAGCTGGAGCCTTGACCTGCAGGTGGACTTCTCCTGGATATCACTGAGCCACCTCAGCACGTGGCTCATAGTGCTGCTGGTGGTGGAGGCACTGTGCCTGCAGGTTTGTGCATGAGTGCAAGGCATGAGTCTAGGAAGGGGTCAGGGGGAGTGTGCGCAGAGGGCGACTGAAATGGCCCCTAGCGTGATGCTGAGCAGGAGGGCTCCGGGAGCCCCATCAGGTGCATAGCCAGCGGTGGCGACTGTCCTACAAGCCAACCTCCCTAAGTTGCAGCCAACTCGTGCGGATGCCTCGCTCTGTCCTGCGCCTTTTGTATTGTTCCGACTGTGCTCTTCCCATTATGTCCCACGCTGACGCTCGCACCTCATCAACAGGCTGCCTGCTTGGCGTACCAGTTCTTCCTGGTACACACAGCCAACTCGCAGCACATGAGGCGCTTCAGCGTTTTCCTGGCCCTGCCTTCCGGCACTATACGCATCATGGCCAGCCGGAAGATAGCGGTGAGCGGGGTCCCATAGGACTTAGGACACGCGCTTTGCCAAACAATTGCAGCCAGCAAGCCCTGGGCTGATGCAAGCATGCAGACAGATGGAAGGGGTTGCCCTTGGTGTGGATGCATGAAACCTTTGCGCCAAACCCAGAGTATCCAGCACGTCACAGGCACGCGAGCGCACACAAGGACAGCAGACAGGTCATAAACCAACCCCTCCATATGTGAAGGTTGACGATGATGATGATGATGAGGGGGACGATGATGACGATTTGGAGGCACTGGCGGCCCAGGGGCAGAGTCGTCCCGGCGAGAGATTGGCCGCCGACAGCGCCGACCCAGGCAACAAAACAGCATCCAAGAGCGTGCGGCTCGCAGCTGGAGATGATGGTGAGCAGATTTGGTTGGCAGGACCCATGCAGCTTTGGAAAATACTGCGTTGTGAGGTGTTTCCGTGTCACTTAGACGACTGGTGTGGCTGACTCAGAAGCAGGGATTGGCTGAGCCGGGCACGTCATCCAGCACGCTGTTTGGGCCAAATTCTCACCCCTCTCCGACCCTCCCTGGCATTCACCGTTCCCCTGCAATTGAACAGAGGATGATGATGAGAAAGGTGGCACGCCGATGAAGGGCAAGAGAAAGCCTGGTGGCAAGAAACACTCTGCCAGTACTGCTGCTGCGGCGGCGGCTGCAGAGACCGAGAAGAACAAAAAGAAGCCCAAGAGCCTGGGACAGCGCATCCACCAGGCACTGTTCGGCTGGATGGACACAGTCATCAAGGTCAGGGGGGGACCCAGGCCTGACACAGGTCCAAGCGTAGTCAAGAGGGTTGCGTGTGCAGCGCAGCGCACCGCATTTTTGCAACACATGCATTATTGATGTCAGTGATGCTGGTCGCATTGCAAGCATTCAGAACGTCGACGGCTTTGAAGATACGTTCACGTGCCGCTCTTTCATGCTGGCCACCTCACTTGGCAGCCGCCTCCATCCCCGCCTGCCGCCTCCATCCTCGCAGCTCAACGGCAAGAAGCTCGTCCCCAACAACTCGGTGATCTCTAAATTCATGCTGCCCCTCACGGTGTGGGCGGTGGCCGTCATCGTGGTGTTTGGAGTGACTTTCCAGAGGCTCGCGGGCCTGCAGGCACCACTGGCGTCGCTCAACGCGGCGGCGCGCGTCACCTACCTCATCAGCCGCGTCCGCGTGACGGTGCGGGCCACAGCTGGGGGGTGGGGCGAGGGTGCGAGTCAGGGTGGGAATCAGGCAATTGCTGCACAAATACAGCCGCCCTGACACCAAGACAGCGTCTGTGTCGCACGGATTGCCCCAAAATAGGTGGTAGGTCACCACACCACCTATCCCATGTCGCCCTCTGCTACAAAGGGCGACCACTTGGCGTTCGCCAGCGACATCAATGAGCGCCACCGCATCAAGGATGACCTCCTGTTGATGGTCACAGATCTCAGAGAAGAGTGAGTGCAGCATACTTTGCATCACGGCCTGCCGCCTTATGCACATGCAGTGCAATCATACCATGGTGTGGTGACCCAAATGCCCCCTCCACCCCTCAAGCGACGGCCTGAAGTTGGGAAACATGCCCCGTTGGTGCACACAGGGAGTCTTCAGCCTTGCCTAACCTCAGCTTGTCTAGCACCAGCACGTCATCACGTGCTGCCGCGGGCTCCGCGCATACTCCAGCCCTCTCACCTCTGCTGACCCTGCCCATCCGTTCAACTGTCCTATGTTCCTCCCCCCGCTTTCCTCCCAAAATAAATGAAAACCCCACAGGTACGCCCTTCTCATGTACGGCGGCAAAATACACCACAGTGAGCCGATACTCCAGTGATTGGCCATGATTGCGGCGCAATATGGCAGAGGGCGCACGCATGAGGGGCCCTGATATAGCCGCTCACGCCAGCAGGCAACCCCCCTCCAAGCTTGGCACTCAGCCAGCAGCAAAGCGCACCCTGGACCCCCATTGGGTGCCCATCTTCCTTCCGCACACTGCATTTTGCCAGCCCGCCTTGCCCTGATCTTCCTGAATCCTGGCCCTACTTTGTCGCTCACTCAGTCGCGGAGGGCACCACCTACTCCCTCTTGACCCCCCCTGCCGCATTCGCCAGCCCTGACGTTGCTCAGCTTTTCTTCAGGTGGGGCCACAGGGTGGGGGTGGGCAGAGCGTTTGATGGCCAGGCTCTATGGCAGGGTCGGCAGGGGAACCGCCGTTTGTGCCATCCCGGGCGCCAAGACACGCCTTCAGCAGTATCTGCATGCACGAGCTAATGCACGCGCGCACATCTACAAACACGCGCGCACACACGCGCACACACATGCACACACGCGCGTACAAACCCACACACACGCACACATGCACGCACGTACACACACACGCACACACACACGCACGCACACATGCACGCATACACACACACATGCACAAAGAATTATCCTCACTCCTTTGTTTCCACACCAGGACCAATGGTTGTCTGCGCAACGACAAGAGCACGTGCTTCAAGCCCGATAGTCCCTACCACCAAATCACACACAACGGGCTGGATGCAATGGTGGACCGCTTCATAGACACGTACGAGGCTTTCGGCAACCTGCCAGCGGAATTGGCCTATGCCAACCACACTCTGTGCGTGGCTCGCGGGGAGGGCGAATGGAGTCAGAGGGGTCTAGGAGGGTGGACAAGAGAGGGTGAGGGGAGGACGTCCATCTCACCAGTCTGAAGGGGAGAGTACGGTTGGCAGGTCAGGGCCGGCGGGTGGAGGCCTGGCGAGCTTGCAGCAATGGTGCACACCTCAGACCCAGAATAGATGCGCTCCCCTCCAAGGGGCCCAGATTTCAGCGGGGTGCCCCACTGCGGTGCTGTCGAAATCGCGTCCTGGGCCCCTCTCCCGTTGATGCCCCTTCCTCGTGCTGGTCTGCGCGATCTCTCTCACCCTGCTTGAAGGTACCTGTGGCTCAACCAAGTCGTCCCGGACGACATGATGGATGGGTGAGAGCCTGGCAGGAGCTCGGAGGGGCTGCACCGCACTTGCATGTGCGCTTCGGTTCAAGCACGTGCTGCTCAATGCCCGGACCCATCCAGCCCCTTGACCCATGATTCCACCCAATTTTGCGTGCACTCACACCGCCGCCACCATGAATCCCGCAGAATCTACCAAGCAATTGACCTCTTTGGAAGTGAGGCTGGGGAGAGCTGGTCCAGGGTCCTGCTAGGCCTGGGATCAGGGCGTCCGCCATGGGGACATGCAGGACAATGACGCAACACGCCTCAAACCCATCACACAGCGACCAGGAGTGCTGCTGTACCTTACCCGCCACGGCCCTCGTGCCGATTCAAAGGGCGTCCTCTGTGCCTGCAGGACTGAACGTGCACCCCCGTGCCATCAGGCTCACCTCCGCTCGCCACTTCTGCACCTCCTGACGTCTCCTCTCCCCCTCACCCTACAGCTTACACGATCAGCAAGTTTGAGGGTGTGACCCAGCTGCACCAGATCATGATGGTCGTCACCATTTCAGTCGTGCTGAGCTTCATAGTGCTGCTCTACAGGTGGGCAGGTGGCTTCGAGGTGTGTGCGTGTGCGTGTGTGGAGGGGGGGAGCACGGGGAGGGGGGGCACAGAGAAGGCGGCGAGAGAGGGGTTGCGGCGCAGGGGATGGGGCGTGCACAGCACCTCATTTGCCTTTGCATGGCAGCGCGTACGACCCTGAGGAGTGCGGCCAGTATGCACGCCGAGCTGCCGTTACCACCCCTCCCTCACAACCCACCCACGCACCCACGCACGCTCCCCTGCCTCCAGGCCGTATGTGAAGCTGCTCCACGAGGAGTCCAAAGACATTGCCGGCATGCTGAGCCAGCTGCCAGCAGAGGTGAGGCCTTTGCATCTACAGACTGCATGCCTGGGGGAGCCAACGACTGCGGTCGTTTCACCACTCACCCTCCGGGGCTCCTTGGGCTCCTCCGCCTGCTGCGGCCACCTCAGGTAGCCTGCCTGCCTGCCTGCAAGGTCACCGATTGCGCCATCGTAGGCCCTCACATTGCCCCAACCCTCTTTGTCACTCCTGCCCGGCTCCCTTTTGTTGCCAGGTCAGCGTGGAGGAGACTGTCAAAGTGCATGTGCTGGGCCTGCCGCCGCGTGTCGACGGGCGGACTGCGTCGATGGTTGGCGGACAGTCTATCATGATGATGGGGCCAGGCGGGATGATGATGGCAGGGCCGCCCGGCGTGAGCGGCCAGGCAGGGATGGGCATGATGATGTCCGGCATGATGGGCCCCGGCATGCGCATCCCCGTGCCGCCGGGGCAGCCTGGGATGTACGCGGGCGGTGGCGGCGACGGCTTTGGCCGTGGGATGTATGGTGGCGCAGACGGTGCTGTGGCGGTCAACGTGAGGGGCCGCGGGGGCGCACCTGGCTACTATTGAAGGACAAGAGGGCGGCCTGCTGGCAGCCTGCTGGGTGACAATGAGTGCGTCGGAGGCGTCACGAGTCGTGGCAAGCAAAGGCGGCTCCTTCCAAGAGCTTTGCATAAAACGCGTCCTGCTCACCTAGGGTCTAAGCTGCGGCATCGGCATCTGAACACCAGCGCCTGACAATCTCCTCAGCGGCTTGGCACTTGCCTTCGTTTGCGAACCACACTGCCCCTGTATCCTGCGGAACCACCGCTTCTGGCATGATTGAAATCAGTCTGTTTTGGGTGGTCTACCTGTCTTGTGAGAATTGGCGTGGCAAGCCCCCACCAATCAGCATCCCCTGCCCCAGGCCGTCGGGCGCTGAATGATTTGAGTGCACCGCGGATCACGCATGACACCTGCTGCAGCAACACTGCCGCACAAACTGCAGGCTGCGATGCCTTTTGCTGCCCTGTGCCCATTTTGCTTGCAACTGCCCAAATCACATCATGTCATGTGTCTTGCTAGAATTTCTGGAACTAATGACGGAATTGAGCCAGCGTATGATGAGGTGCTTCTTCATGCTTTTGCCCCGCGAGACCCTCTCTGTAACTGCCTGCAATCGCCCAAGTTACTGCTGCCGGTGGATCGTGCTGAGGTTCGCCGACAGCCCAATTATAATAGGCTCGCCGAGCACATTACTTGAGTAAGTTACTGAGTCAGCATCAAACAGATTTCAGCGTGTGAAATTCAAGCAGAGCGGCTTGCATCGACGCCCCTCTTCTCTCGGCACCCTATTTACCTGGTCACGGCCTTCATGGGCAAGTGCACGATGTGTCTACCCCCCAGAGTGGCAACAGCAGCAGCCCAAAAGCCAGCCACCACGGTGGGTGGGTCTTCGCCTAGCGCGAGGCCAGCAGCTCTGGTGCCTCAGCGGCCGAGACGCTAGGCACCAAGCAGCATGCAAAGGCGCGCGCCAGCGGAAAAATGCGGCGCTGGGCCCCCCACTGCAATTGGCGCACTGCGCTTCTGGCAGAAGCGTTCGTGCCGCATGAATCAATAACAAATGGTGAGTGGGGATTGTCGCCCCAGCGAGACAGACCCGCTGCCAACCTTGTCGCATTCGTTCTGGACTGCTGCTCCCATCAATCCCGCCTGTGCTTATTACGCTGGTGTGTACGCCTGTGGCAGCGCCGCCACCGCTGCCCGTTGCCCGCGGAACTGCCACTGTGTATACGTCACTGCTGTAATCAATCCAGCACAACAACAAACCTGCGCGCTCCCTGGCACGGGCGGCAAAAGGTGGATGCAAGCGGAGCTTTCAAGTCCATCAAGGTCACCGCTGTTGCAATGGAACTGCGCTACAGGCCCCAGAAGCTGCTGTACGACAGGCTGTATTGGGGGGGGGGCTGCACACAGCAGTCTGCGCAGCGTGGGAGCGTGCGAGTCGGTACGGCACTGAGCTGCAACCCGATTGACGGTGTTTTGATAGGCACGTGATCACAATCGTAGCTGTCTCCTCTGCCATAGACGGCGCTGCCAGCTGTGATGCTGTGCGTTGCTGTCCCTCATGCAATGTCGCCGCTGCCGGGATCCCGGGTGCGGCCTTCGCTCTCTGCAGAGCCGTACACCGCCGGCACATTTGAGAGGAGGGGACTGCTGGCTGCGACATATTGAATCCGGTGGGACACACACCCAAACGCA